TCGCTAGAACACACAAGTGTATAACACTTTTCTCGACGCGCGTTTCATCAGCTTTGTAAAGAAATATTATTTCATAACGAAAATATGTTTGGTTGAAAGCTCATCGATTGAAATGTTCAATTTCTGGTTTGAAACATGTGGTTTGAATGAATTTATTTTACCCAATAGATAGCAAATTCCCCATTAATTTGCTCGAACAAACTTCAATTCCCCTAAATTTATTCGCTAACAACATTTTACGTCTTCTAAATATCATTCACTTGAATCGATAGGAGTAACTTTTAGGGAGAGATCCATTTTTGGGAAAGGAAGATTTTGGCATTCNCAATATAAACATTTATTGATCACATTTTTATGAAAACTCTCGACCATCATACAAATCTTAACTGCAAAATGATCCAATAATTAAAAAAAATTGTTTATTGAGAACATGAAAAAAAATTACTATTTTATATTTCCCTAAGCAGCGGGGTAATGAATCATGTACAGGTAGCTTATCCATTATCAAACTTAATTGAGTTAGAAAGTGAGAAATTCAGTATTTATTTTGAACATTCGATGTTGTTTCATAACTTGATATAACAAAACTCAGAAGACTTTCTATAGTTATATGTATACGATGAGTAACAAAAATATGGAGCACTTCCATGATAATTTGTTTTTTTTTATTAAACACCTGAATTGTTTTTACTTTTGAATTTCGATTGAGATTTTCAAAATTTGGCAATGAAAAAGATTTTCTGAATTATCACATACCTGTAGAGCTTACCTGATTGAATCAGGAATAATTGAGATATTTTCAATTTCCAAACAGGTAGCTACCTTATTACCTGAAGCATATGAAGTAATGCGTTTCAATCAGTGTTGTTAGTGTTAAACTATACTGCCAAGCAGGAGTGATTACAGGAGAAGGGATAGTAGCTTGGCGGGAGAGCAACTCCTTGTATTTTCGACCTAATGGCCTAAGACCCTACTGGGTGACTTCAGAAGATAAACGACTTGTTTTAAACAATTCAGTTACCGCCAAAGAGCAAATCAAAGACTGGGTCTCCAAAATGTTCTAACTTGTAGAGAGGTGCAATGTTATGCCACTAACGCCTCTGAACTTTTTTATATACTCATATAGTCATTCATGACTCCAACCGTAGTTTATTGAAAAATGCAAGTATCGACATGAATAACGTCGTGAAAGTCGTAACGTCGTCGAAAGTGTTGATGATTCAAATATTGAAACATTAAAAAATGATATTTGTAGTGAAAGTCGAAGTGAAAAAGTTGGAATGATCAATATCTCATGGTCGATGATCATTTATCCTCACTTTTCAAGATATTGGGATTATCTCAGGCAGTGCTGTTTCGATCTGTCATGAAACTCATTCATTATAGGTCTCAATTATGAATGGAACAAATATCGAAAAATCAATATTTTGAACCTGAAACCATAATTATATATTTTCAGTTCATATCCAAGAATAACGACTCCAAATAAATGAACCATTCGTCGTGATCACGGAGGTTACAGGAGAATTCAATACATATCCTGAAAAATCAACAAGATGAAACGAAGAGTGTTTCAAATGAAATAAAAATAAAATTGACATCATTCACTTCTGAGGTTGCCATGAAGAAATCAATAATTTTTCTCAATCAGCATCACCAGATACTTATTCATAAATTGTTCCCTATACGTTTCCTACAGTTTTTTATCATTATTATTGGAATACTCCATGAATGATATTCTGTTGGTTGCCTTGAAACATCATTATTATTCATTTAATACTGTCATCGGATAACCAACCTTGAAAATTTGTTGCGAAAGTTTTATATAAATGAAAAACTACATTAATGACATCCAAATTTTCAAAAAAAATCAATAAAACCACAAATCATCTAGTTCTTTGTTCTCAAACAGGGATTTAGAAAGGTTTGTCCGTTAACCAGATGTCGTCTCCTTAGGCAGGTGACATACTTCGCGATTTCTGAATGGTTTTTTCCAGCGCGGTTTCAGAGCGGAAATTGCTGGATAAAAATCACTACAGTGAGTACCTGACAGTGTCCGCGATTTCCGAGCGATTTCCTGGCAGTCCAAAAAATATTCTCTTGTCGTCCTGTAGTATCGTTCGCGCCTTCAAAGCAACCAGTATGAAGTCTGCTGCTGCTGTTGCTGCGGAATTTCACCAACAAATGGTGGTATTCCTTTGTGCTTTGGAAGCAGAAGGTATGACGTGCACCCGTACCACTGAAAGAGGAACCAGGAAGGTAGGTTTTCTGTTTCATATAAAAAATCAGAGGATATGCAGACAAGTTTTTTACCTATTCCAGAATGTCCATAAAGTCGTTCAATGAACTTGTGGCAATTGTTCGAACTTTTGCTACCTAAAGATTCCACCAGAAGAGTACCTATCGTCATCGAAGAGAGGTTTACAGTTACATTGAGGTTAGTTCAAGTTTATGAAATATTGTATTGATCACACATTTCTTCTAGCGGGAGAAATGACCAACACATATCTTATGGGAAACTTGAAAATACATCAAAATATATATTTGTAGTACGTACTTCCTTCTGTCCCTCAAACAAGAGTGATTTTCTACGCTACGAGTTTTTAGTTCCATGCTCGAATCGCAACTGAAAAACCGCTCAGAAATAGCCAACACTGTTCTCCCTCTACTTGGTCGCCCTTGTCCTCCGATTATCGCTCGGAATCCGACGACCGGTCGGCTGTAGAAAATCGCAAACACTGTTATGTTCCATCTAAATGCGGGTGTTGGCATAAAAATAAAAAACAAATCGGAAACCGCGCTGGAAGAAATCGCGAACCATGCCACCGAGCTTAAGAATGGCAAAAAATATTGAAGATTTGAAGTCAGCACGGGTTAGAAGATATGCAGTAAACATCGTCTATACCAGGGTCCGGATCGAACCAACTTCTACAATAGCGATGCTTCCATGAGTAGAATTCATTGACTAATCTGCTATTGTCTGCCAGATGTTATATGCATACTTTCCATATTTTGAAATATAATATACCAGATGTCCCACATTCAATGTTACAGGTAATAGCTCGTAAAAATATTGAGAAAAATGTTCTTCATAAATGGTACAGTTCTTTCAGGCAACTACATTTCGATACAATTTTTATTCATACGAAGTGTTTCGAATTCGGAAAAGTCTGGAATTCCCGAAATTAAATGTAAGGACTGCGATGCAAAAAATTATGGACAGACAAAAAGATCTTTCAAAATAAGATATGAGGAACACTTAGCACACCTAAAATATGGAAGACCACAAAAATTAGCACCCCATCATATTTTGCAACAAAACCATTCCATAGACTTCAGTTCATTAGAATTAGTTAGACAAGTTAACAACAACAGACATCTAGATGCCTATGAGAGTATAGAAATAAGTGAACATAATAATATTATGAATAACGATAGTGGAACAATACCTAATAGTATACTATATGACTTGTTAAAATAATATTTTATTTATTAGATTTACCCAACTATTACATAAGGACACATTGTAAAATTAATTGAAGACTAGTAGATAAGGTAATATTGTGAAATTAATTCAAGACAGTCAAGACGCAGGTTCCTGAAAGAGGTATTTATGGTATGAATAAGGATAACAGTGTAAGTATTTTTAGTTTAATCTTCCTCTTGAAGATGATAACTTGGTGATCGAAACACGTGTCAAGGTGTTGGGAAAAAACTCCAGTAATAATCATTACTACATGAATAGATTGTATGACTAATTTTGATATCAGCCACTCCATGTATCATTTTTTAATTTCCGTTTCAGCATTGCCAGGTTATAACGATTGCCCAAGACTTGCCCAAAATTCATTATGGGTGTTGCAAAATCCGAAGGAAAGTCACATCCTCGCTGAAAAGTGACACTTATAATTTTATCAGTTGTGACCTGAATATTGAAACTCATGAAATGACACAAGCGGTAATTCTTGACACCGGAAAATGTGCTTTTCCTTTTTGAAATTATGCTTATTTATTGAGTAATGGCGTATATACTAATTCATAAAAGGACCCTCATTGACAACAAGGTTATGCATATAACTTGAATACATAATAAAAATTGTTCAATGTGTCTCTCAATAGATATGAGACAAGTTCAAGACGACAATTCAATTCTTCTGAATAACTCCTTTTTATCATGTTCGCTATGATGCTACCATGCGCTTGTTAAATCTTTCTCTTCGGATAATCTCGATTGGAAAGGGAAGAAGAGTGAACAGTTTATTTGAATTACCTCCATAGAAAAAATTCAGTGGTGAAAAATCTGAGAAACGGCCGACCATTAAATAGAACAATTATGATCTGTTGGAAAAATGTCCATTAACAAATTCATTCAATGGCAACCCCTGAATTATACTGCATTATACTGAATTATATACATTTTACTGCCACCTTTCTTCCGGCCTTCTGTAACTGGAATATCTTCTATCAATTCTACCACATCGTTTGGTAAAAAAATCAAATATGTGACCACACTCAGATTTTCATTAGAAAGTATGGACAAATAATGCGTCCATTGAACATTTCCCAACAAAAATTGTCACTCTATACGTTTTGATAAAAAAAATGTTCAATTTAAATGAAAATCCAAAATCAGTCTCACAATATAATTAAGAATTTTTGCGAAAAATTTCAAAGATCACATATTAGATTTGACTCAAAATCTGATTATATAATTACATAAAGGGTATTCTATCGAAAACAAAAAGCAACTATCGAAAAATTCGTATAGGTACAAATCACATAAAAATGTAGCTTCTCTGGAAAATGATACTTTTTATAATAATCATTTTTCTATATATCTATCAGAAACCGAGGTATTACGTGTAACATTGAATATGGGATACCCAGTATGCCTACAGTATCTTCAAACGAATCCCTTCAAGACTTTTATAAACGATTAAAACCATTCATCTTCAATATGACTAGTTTTTGACTAACAGACTTACCTTGTACTTGAACATAAAGTTGTTATTCCAAGAATCTCCATGTGTAAGAACAAAATACTTGTCTTTGGCATTCAAAACATTATTAAGAATAATTTCAGTAAGACCAGTTTCAAGAATTGATTCGATTTTTTCAAGTAATTTCACCTCATTTTTTCTTATAAGGATATCCCGTGCATATCTTGAATACTTCATCATGGTTTTCTTGGTGGAATCTTCTTGGAAATACAGCTTTGCTACGTTTGGAAGTTTCGAAGACAGTTTTTGGAATTCATCACAATTTTGGTCACGCATTGCAAATGAAACCGCATGTAGCTTGGCATATTCTTTGATCACGAATCTCTGGTGGTCTAAATCCATAGGTTTCATTCTATTGTAGAGCTGGTAGCCATTTTTTGTCAAATTCTCCAAGACGATAATACTTTGATCCTCAGATGCCAATGTTTGATAGCATTTTGGAAACGAGTTTAACAATTCAAGAGCATTAGTATCGTGTTGAAACTTTTTGAATACTGGAAAAAGTTTTTCGTAGATGAAAATCTCGCGTTCGAAGCCCACTGTCAGAAATTTGACACTGTTCTGGCCATTATATTTTGCAACAATACTCACTTCTTTAGTTTCATTATCAGAAGTAATTCCAACGATTTTGGCACAGATGATATTTGAAAGGTGACCACCAAGATTTTCATTGTTTTCTATTTCAATTCTGAATTCTCTGAAGTGTTCTTCTTCTAAAAGTTTCGAAATCCATTGACCAACTTTCTGTTCTGCTGTTTCAGTGAACATGTTCATTATTAAACAGTCGGCATTCAGCTTCGTTTGAAATTATCTTCGAAATGAAGATAATTACGAAACACTGATTACGAAACAATAAATTTTTAAATTGATATGCAGTTCCAATTCCGTATCATGATAAGCAATCGAGAAATTGACAACATGTTATTTACTTCAATATTTTTGATTCTGTAAATGAGTGAGCATGTGAGCATGCAACGAAATTTCACAGTTATGTAATGATATTGTTGGGTGAATAACATCCTCTTTCATTATTAGCCGGAACAGGGTCGGAGTATGCCGTTATACTCTTCGGACAGTTTTTAATTTATTTGATACAAAGTTTTTGAGAATGTGATGTACGAACAGTAGCATGAATGGTAATGGTTTGAATCATTAACCAATTTTGAGTTATGAATGCATGAAAATGAAAACTACTGCACTGGTTGCTGTCGTAGCTCGTGGTAACAAAACATTGAAGACAAACCATGGAATTTGTCATGAAATGAAAAATGTTCAGAAATTTTTGTTTTTTTTTTGAGTATCGTCAAACTTCTCTTCTGTATATTTTTTATTCCAAAAATTGTATCTTAGAGATACAATTTTTGGTTCTGTGCACCCACTCACTATTCTCCACAGAAGCAAGCAAAACATTTGAAAAAATGATCACTCTTGTGAAAATGGTGATGAAGTAAGCCAAAATAATACATTTCTTATACTCGTTAGTAATTTTAATACCCAGAAATTATATAACAGCAACTGTATCAAGATGCACGAAAATGTTATGATCTTCAGAATTTTTTAACAACTTTACATATCAGCACCCGTTTTACAGTTTTGCGTTCATAATCAGTGAATGACATAAATACAAATCAAGACTTGTTCAGAGACGTATTCTTGTAATGAGGTATTCAAATAATTCAAATTCATTTCATAATTCATAGTAGAATATTCGAATCACTTACCCCACACCGTGGGGTAAGTGATTATTGGGTCCAATAATCATGTGCCCTGAGCAAGAACAGTGAGCCAAGAATGACAGCCTTCTGCATCTGTGTGGCTAAGATTTCTGCCTTTGTGCGGCAAGCCGGTATCATTTTAAGATTCGAGAGTAGAAAGGGCATCATTCCACCAAGGACTCCAATAATCAGAAAAATTATCTTGACAGAGTGGTCTGGATAGAGTCTGCGGAGTTCGAAGGGAAAATCTCGATATTTCACCCGTTTTTCCTCCTCTTTTCGGACGATATTCGTCTCGCCAGGAGCTGAAAACTCCATGACAAATATCGTCTTGCTCTGGTGGTCGAGAAGGACTGCATCAGGCTTATTAGCTTGTATGAGCCTGAGGGTGGGGAACGAATAGTTCCAATAAATTCGGCACTTCTTGTTCTCTACAACGGATTCAATATCCCCCGGAGCGTAGGGCAACACCGGTGTCTCGTCAATACCGTAAGAGTGCCGTCTACGCATATGCTGGTCATGCTTATAGCAAGTGCATTAGGGTCTCGGGCGCCTCGCAGCAGGCCCTGCACCTTGTGTTAGGAACCTCTATATCCATCACGCAACTGAAGTAGACTAAGGTGTTGAAAAAACCATCTTGGCAAGCCATGATAAACCCCTCAGTTTCCGACTTCAGCCCACTCGACCTGACGAAAGCGAAAGTCAGGCGCTTTGATAAGCCAAGGTCTTCAATGTTATTGTAGAAGACCCCATGCATTGGCTTAATCTTGTGTTTCCGCAGAAGTGAGGTGATCTATGCGGCTTTTATATGAGCTTTTTGCTGAACGGGTTACAACTCGGTGACAGAGTTGTAACCCGAATTGAAATGCTCCAATTCCTGCTCTCTCATGGTTACGGACCATGCAGAGAGCAGGAATTCATTCTCGAATTTCATACCGCTTGCATGCGTGTACTCTTCCACCACCCTCAAGGACTGATGGAGATCCTTCTCTCCAGAGGCCTAGAGTTTAAGATCATCCATATAAAACAAATGGGTGACCTTGTGCCTCCGGTTTCCGGGAGTGTCACAGATATACCCTCGAGTATTTCTGAGCAAACCTCGACAAACCAATCCGAAATCGGCTGCTCTCCGTCCAGCCTTGAGTTGACAATTCAAGTACCCACCGCCATCTGGCGGTGGGTACTTGGTAGTTTCTTACACCAATAAGTGTTCAACCCATCTGGGCGTAGAGCAGCAAAGTTCATGGAACCCATGAGGGCCCTTCGAACGTCATCTGGGGTTATCGGGTTGAAAGCTTCGAACTGTGCTAGGGCTGGAGTGTCTATGTTGAGTGGCTGTGGGTGTTCATAGATATCCTTCTAGAAGGATTCCACCTGATCAGCGGTCGGCGGATTATCCACAACACATGGAGGCTCTTGGAATAAGCGAGAAGGTTTCTCGCGGAACTTGAGGTTTTCTGCAATACTTCTCGCTTGCCTCACTAGTGACTTCTTAGCAGCCACTAGCATTCCTATCCTAACAAGGCAGTGCTGTTTGGTGGTCAGCGGCACTCCTTGACATGAAGTGTGATGGAAACGTCGTAGTTTGGCGGCTATTTGCCGCACTGCGGGCGTGAAAGGCCTGTTGGCTGCCCTGTAATCCATCACACATTGGATACGAGACGCGTGTTTTCTCGCCGACGTGATCTTAGCCTTCATCTTGTGTACACGCCGTTCAATCTCCCGAATCGCAAGGCCGCATTCCAATTCGGAAAGGAAGCAACGACCATCCAAAATAGGGAGAGAGAGAGAGAACCGTTGCTTGAATAGTGCAAAATTTCCGTATCGTTCAAATTCGGAAACTTGTCGTTGTATTCCAAGAAATAGTTTGAAAACGTCAAATCATTTTCACCTAGAGTGAAGGAACTTTCGTGTTTGCACCATGCAAGCAAGGGTTGGAAACTCAATTATTTGGAATAAGCATTGAATGATCAAATCGATTTAGTTTACGGTTTTCAAATTAGCGTACCCACATTGTCACAGGTAAACAAAATTCAGGTACTCAATTAAGTAAAGTACTTATGCCATTTACAGTGTCGTTATATAAGTGGTAGGTAATATTATCATGCATTTTTAGTTTAATGTATAAGTTTGAAAGTGTCCTTATAGAACGAAACTGCAGTAACTCTAGTTACGACTAAAAGTGGTAAAGAACATGGAAATTTTCATTTTTTATATTCCATGAAGTTGAAGAATTATTACTTGTGTATTAAATATCACAGTACCTACTGGTGGCAGTAAAATGTATCTTATATTTTCCAGAGATACATGACAATTGACTACAAAATTATTTGAAATATCTCCAAAACTGTGGCGACAACCTGAATATGTTATGGTTTTTTGTATATGGTAGTCGAACCCAAAAAGAAATAATGGTTATGGAGGCAATTTCTGCATATATTACTGCATCTTTTCAGGTAACACAAGATTGTCGACGTGATAGTATTCAATATGGACCGATCAACTTTGCAGATAATGCAAGTCGTGAAGCGAAAAAATCGTCTATCATCTATGGAATGAAAAAGTTTATGAACGGGACCACAAGAATACCGGGTGTTAACATTCAGATTGCTAATACGCTTGATCATTTTTCAACGAATTCAAAGATTCACATCAAACGCTTGTCTCGTCTATTCTTGTCTCAGGCGGAGGTGGTGGGTGGAAATTTCATATCCAGATTGTTTTCTTTTCTCACCTTTTTTTTCCTTCCGCTCTCATTCAAACTTCAAACTATCTAAGATATAATTGATATAGTACCACATATAGCGAACAAGAGCAGCTCAATATCAAAGATTGTTATCTCCAAAAAAATAAGGTTCAAAACCTGACGAAATTTCAACAATTGTTCTCAAAATAACGGCAGTCTTCTACAAGTTGTTCAGCTACTCACGAAGTCTAGTAGTATTTCCTCTCATAGTTCCAAAATAACTCCATTCCAATCAGTCCAAGAAGAATATATTGGCTTCTCAAGATCAATTTGCCAGTAATCCGAGGTTTCCAGAACTATGCATAGGATTATCAGACTAGTTTCAACTTTTCTTCGATGTTCCAGGCTATCAAGTTACTTGCGATGTTTGGGATTCCAGTCAGACGAATGACTGACTGACTGACGTCAGGTGTAGCTGACGTGCAAAAATCCTCACATGGAAAGGTTGCCGCGGGTATCAAGGTGAGAGTCTTGCACTTTGACTATTTGACTACCTCAATAACGATGAAACAGCAGAGCACATACTTTGTGCCTACCCCGCTGGGGACCAAATCAGGTTTTTTGAGTTCGGCAGAGCCGTACTCTTACCATCTGACCTGAAAGACTACTCCTATGCAAACTAATCGGCTTCGTTAAGAAGCTGGGTTTATTTGGTCGAGTGTAAATAGGTGTGAGCCACAATAAACCGTTGCGATTTGCGGTGGAAGGTTGAATAGACCTACTCACTTTGGACCTAACCTAACCTATTATCAGAGAACTCTGAGAAATCATTACATTTTCCATTGCACTTTATGCAAGTCTGCATTATGAAAAATAAACTCTGGTTCGTATTTAGGATTGTAATATGTTTCGTATTGAGCTATTTGACTGAATTTTTTTATATTAGTATATTAATGGATTGCTCGTTCAGGTCATTCAAATTTTTCAAATACTTCAAGGGATCTGATGGTATTCCATGTAGCCTTGAAATTCTTCTGTCGAAGTACATACTTAGGATGAACAGTTTTTTCACGACATACAGCACTAGAGACGTAGTTCGTGGTCCCGGAGTTCTCATTCTATTGTATCATTCTCATTGACAGTGACTGATAATTACGAAGCATTTTAGCAAAAATGTCTCGCTTTTATAATAATACTTTTATGGACACTTTAGGTGCTCCGAGTTCTGAAGAGTATGTGAGTTTTACGATCAGCTCTGAAGCAATGCCGATCTGGCAAACGAAACGTACCTATGTAAAGTGTCAGTTTTTGTCCGGTATGGTTTGTCACTATTCAATGAATGCCTTTTTATTATTACAACATATTTCATTATCAAAAATGATTTTTTCATTCATTCTAAATGAACCATCAAATGATTCCTACAAAAATATATTCTTGAATAACATCAACAGTATCAGTTCGTTATAGCTTTTTCATCATGGCTTTATCTGTT